ATAGGTTTTGTTGTTTGATGATGAAAAAGAATTGATTAATGAAGAATAGAATTCTATTTCATTGAATTAATTGTTTGACTCAGAAAAATGGTGATAAAAGTTGTTTTGGAGGAGGCAAAGAGAGGAAAAAAAAAAGTTAAATGAAGAAGATTTGAGAAAGAGTATGCTGGAGGAAGAAGATGAGGATAAAATTGTCATTTTGGTGGGTTACATGGCATGAATATAAGCTGTTATGTTGCCATGTCATCATTTTGATTTGATGTGTCTAAAATTTTTGCCATGTCATTAACTCATTGTGAGTTAACGATGGATATTTAACGGAAGGACCAAATCGGGGTCAAAATGGTAAACAGTAGGGACCAAATCAAGAATTTTTTTAATTTAGGGACCAAAATGAGGTTTTAACCAAAAAAACTTCTACTGCTAAATTTTGTACTTTCCCAAGAATGGGTCTGTACCAAACCTTACACCAACGTGGGTTCGCCCTGATTAGCACTAAGAGAAAAGGCTCAAGAATCGGCCGGATATTGGAAGTGTGGAACATTGAAAATGAGGGATTAACAATAGAGTAACCACCATCTATCAAGAGATTGTGCCCACTGACGTACCTTCCCTCATCGCTCGCCAAATAAAGGGCAGCATTTGCAATATCTTCTGCCTTAAGGGTCACACCCTTAAGATTGGCAATCGAATACATCATCTTCTCGATCTCCTCGTGCTTAATTCCAAGAACAGTGGTAGTCAAAGGCGTCGCGACTCCATAGGGAGATATGCAGTTAACTCTAATACCAAATTGTCCGAGCTCAACTGCAGCATTTTTTGTGAGTTCCACAACAGCATGCTTTGAAGCACTATAAGCATGGGTGCTTGTTTTACCTATAGTTGAAGCTATGCTGGCAGTGGAGATTATGCAGCCGCTTTGAGCAGGCAGGCACCATGATCCGAGCTGCGTGCTTGATGCCAAGGAAGACCCCTGTCACGTTCACACTAAGGACACGCTCAAAATCGAATTTTTCGTTATCAATTATGCGTGGCTTCATCTCGCCCAAAATGCCAGCGTTATTGAATATGATATCTAGTTTGCCATAGGTGGCAACAGCTTTGTCCACAGCATGTTGGATTTGTGACTCATTGGTGACGTTGCAGTGGACGAAAATGGAGTTTGATGGGCCGATTGACCACAGACTGTGTGGCCTAATTGTTTCTGGATGCCAGCAACAACTACTGTGGCTACATGGTGGGCAAAGACACTGGCAGTGCATGCGCCAATACCGCTGACACTCTTATGATGAGTGCAACCTTCCCCTCTAGCGTGCACAAAATTGACAATTATATCAAACAATATACTTTCAGTAAAGCTATCATCCTTAACTACATTCATTCAAACCAAACAAGAAAAGAACACCTTTTTGCGACAGCAGAGATAAAGGAAGCCATTGCTATGATCCCAACTTTGAATTTTAGAGGGAAAATTTAGTGGGTTAATGCTATTAATTCAACTTATAATATGCAAATTGATCCGTAAATGCATATATATATATATATATGTATATATACAGGGAAACAATTTTGGTATGAGAACACTTGGTGAAAGGCTATTGGTTTTGGTGCATTAGAGGAGTGGAGAATTTGTCCTTGTAGCAGAGAATTGTAGCTTGCTTGCAGTTTGCTCTGGGTACATTTATGAGCATGCCGTTGCTATGATCACAACTTTGAATTTTAGGACCTGCTTAGGTACGGTACACCGACTTTAACCGGGCTGGGCTTAAAACCTCCGACAGTTTTATTTATTTATTTATTTATTATTATTAGTCATTAGAGAAACCTTGTTCAGTTTTTGAAAAACGTTGGAACATGCAAATAAATACTTTATACTTTCTAAAATGATATACTTAAAACGTGGTATAATAGCATTGTAGACTTATAATATGATACGTTTTTATATGATTTATTTTTTATTTAAAAATTTATATATAATATTATTTGTATTTATTTATTTAATAATATTTTATATTTATTTAATATTATATTATAATTATAAATTTATAATTTTATATAATATTATAATTATAATATTATTTTTACGAGGTATTTTGGATTTGGTTGGACCTTTACCAGGTACTCAATACAGCAAATTTGCCATGTAAGAAAGGTTGCATTCTCTTCACTTCTAGTTGAGCCACACAGGTTTCCGGCCGTTACCTTGGGCACTCGTATGTAACATCAAAGCATGCGATGGTGGGTTTGGCTAAGAACTTATGTGTTCAGTTGGGACAGTATGGCATAAGAGTCAATTGTATTTCACCATCTTATTTGGCAACTCCATTGCTAACAGAAACAATGGATATGATAGAGAAGGAGAAGCTGGAAGAGGTGATTTCTACATCAGCAGTCTTGAACGGAACAATACTGAAAACAGAGGATGTCGCAGAGGCAGCTCTATATTTAGCAAGTGATGAGTCCAAGTATGTAAGTTGGATCAACCTTGTGGTCGATGGAGGTTACAGCCTCACCAATGTGGCTTTCCCAATGGCTTTTGACAGCCTACTTTCTTAAGCTTCAATATTATCTTGCATTTCCCAATTTACTTCTTAGTTTACAAATATTTAATTTTAGTCTAATTAAGGTCATCAATTTCTTATTGCATAAAAAATTATGTATGAATTATTGAACAAACTCAAATAGGACTGAAATATTAGAAACCAGTTCCCACGTTTTTCATTATATGAACATCAGGAGCAGGGGCGGAACCAGGATTCAACCCAAGGTAGATGGGGTCTCTTAAAGCTTTTGTTTCGCCCTCCCCTCTTGCATCATGGCCGACTGTCTCTATACCTTCTTGAAGTTAGATTGTTGTACCAAGATTTACTTCTTACCAAACCAAAACACCATGATCTAAAGGTATGAACAGGAAAACTAGCTTAATAAAGAAATATTTTAGAAAAAATCGGTGAAGAGCACAAGAGTTAATCATAAATTGTATTTCTTACTGCCAACACAACAGAGGGTTTGTGTAAAAAGATAAATATCCTATCAATTAAGACTTGCTCAGTTTATACAACAATAATTGAATAATGCACAATAAGAAATAATCACGAATTTCATTTAAAATAACAATTAGAATTTGAGCAAGTGCTTTGGACGATTGGAACAATATTTGTGCTTTTAGATACGGTTTTAAAATTTACTCCATAGTCTATGCATATACCATAGAAAAAAATAATAATTTGAAAAATAAAAACTGCTAGAAATTTAATTAGAGAAAAAATTCCAGTCCAAATGCCTTGAAAACCAGCAATGTATAATTGGAATTGAAATTCAGGAAAATAAAATTTTACGAAAATAAGACTGTATTCCAGGATTAACAAGATTATTACATTCGAGAAGACATATATGAGCGTTAACAAAAAAAAGAGAAAAAAACAGATATCATGTGTTCAGATTGTGGAATTCCAGGGGTTTTTGAGCAATTAGAGATTTACTTATATTTATGGGGTGTTTGGTTTACTTTCTTTAAGAAATACCTCTTTTAATATCATCGAAGGGTGTTTTGATAATTAAACATTTCAAAACCGTTATTTTTTTTAGTTTGCTTTTTTATATAATTTTTAATCTGTAAAATTTTCTTTCAATCTTTTGTTAAAAAAATACAATCTTTTTTTATATAATTTGCTTTCAATCTGTATTTAATTTTTTATTAAATACAATAAAATTAATAATTTAATAAAATTTATTAAAATTTTATTATAAAATTTAACAACTTTTAATACCTTATTATTTTTTAAACTTTTTTTATATAATATTTTTTCAATTATTTTCTCAATAATAACTTTCTTGAGAGAGTTATCCTTTAACTAAACACACCCCTACAAGTTAAAAGTGACTGCCAGCTGCAACTCATAATTGGCCCTAGCCTAGGAGGCTGGGAAAAACTCCTACTACCAAATTTTCCTTGTCCCAACCTTAGGCCAATGTGGGTTCATCTCCGATAAGCAGCTAGAAATAAGCTCAAGAATCGGCCGGGTATTGGAACATTGGAAACGAGGGATTAACTATACTGTAACCCCCATCTATCAAGAGATTGTGCCCACTGACGTACCTTGCCTCATCACTTGCCAAATAAAGAGCAGCATTTGCAATATCTTCTGCTTTAAGGGTCACACCCTTGAGATTGGCAATCGAATACATCATCTTCTCGAGCTCGTCGGGGTTAATTCCAATGCATGAGGTAGACAAGGGCGTCGCGACTGCAGAGGGAGATATGCAGTTAACTCTAATTCCAAATTGTCCGAGCTCAACTGCAGCATTTTTTGTGAGTCCCACAACAGCATGCTTTGAAGCAGTATAAGCATGGGTGCCTATTTTACCTATAGTTGAGCTTACGCTGGCAGTGGAGATTATGCAGCCGCTTTGAGCTGGCACCATGATTCGAGCTGCGTGCTTGATGCCGAGGAAGACTCCAGTCACGTTCACGCTAAGGACGCGCTCGAAGTCAGATTTTTCGTTATCGATTATGCGGGACTTCATCTTGTCCACAATGGCAGCGTTGTTAAACATGATGTCTAGTTTGCCATAGGTGGCCACAGCTTTGTCCACAGCCTGTTGGATTTGGGATTCATCGGTGACGTCACAGTGGACGAAGATGGAGTTTGATGGGCCAATTGACTCACAGACAGAGTGGCCTAATTGTTTTTGGATGTCAGCTACAACAACTTTGGCGCCATGGTGGGCAAAGACTCTGGCAGTGCATGCGCCAAGACCGCTGGCACCTCCAGTGATGAGAGCAACCTTCCCCTCTAACCTGTACAGTATTGATGAACAATACACTTTTTAGTCACTAGCTAGATCTGTCATCCCCCATCCATCCAAAATAAAAAAAAAATATAACCTGTACAGTATTGATGAACAACACACTTTTTAGTCACTAGCTAGATCTGTCATCCCCAATCCATCCAAAATAAAAAAAAAAATATAACCTGTACAGTATTGATGAACAATACACTTTTTAGTCACTAGCTAGATCTGTGACATCTGTCATCCCCAATCCATCCAAAATAAAAAAAAAAATATAACCTGTACAGTATTGATGAACAATACACTTTTTAGTCACTAGCTAGATCTGTCATCCCCAATCCATCCAAAATAAAAAAAATATAACCTGTACAGTATTGATGAACAATACACTTTTTAGTCACTAGCTAGATCTGTCATCCCCAATCCATCCAAAATAATAAAAAATAAAAAATAAACACCTTTTTGCAACGGCAGAGATAAATGAGGCCATTTTTAAGATTCCAAACGTCAGGACAGGATTATGAAGAAAAGAGTTGATGGAGATCCAAGAAGATAAGCTCAATGAGAGATTAATTGGAAGAGGAAAATCAGAGGAAAATTAAGGCAAAACATAGAAGACATGCTTGTGTGTTTCTTCCTCTATTACATTTTCTTGATATATAAGTCATGCTTCGTAATTATTATATTGTACAAACTTAGTGATTCTAATCACTCCCATCACTTTACATCAAAGTGA